GTTTACGCCTGATACTATTTATAATTTAGACTCCCATCGTGGTTCATTTCTTGAATAATGTCATCCAAACACTGAATAATAATCCATCTTTTGGGCGCAAGCAGAGGTTGTAATTCTCAAGTAATATCGAAGGGATTTGCCTATATTATGGAAAGTCGATTTCTTTTTGATAAATTGCCATTGGTCCCCCTGTTTCTTTCCATGAACTTTTCTGCAGAGCAATTGTCAGCTGCAGTGTACAGATGCATTCACCATGCATATTGTTTTTTGGTGTTGTAGGCTTAACCATGCTAAGTCATTGAACTTGAGCAGCTGCCTATTTTGATAAAAATCCTTATGTTTTTCTCAGGTCATTGCTGGTTCTGATAATGGCTCACTTAGATTATATGACATCCGGTTGATGCCTACAACAGCCACAGGCAGTCATCAGAATGCAGGTTCAATTATGTTTGATGACTTTGACCAGTTAACGTCTGTTCATGTCAACTCTACCGATGAATTGTTTCTTGCAAGTGGATACTCAAAACATGTTGCTCTGTACGACATTAGCAGTGGCAGACGGTTGCAGGTGTTTGATGATATGCATCGAGAACATATAAATGTCGTTAAATTTGCACACCACTCTCCATCTATTTTTGCCACTTCATCATTTGATCGGGATGTTAAGTTGTGGGATTTAAGACAGAAACCAAACCAGCCTTGCTACACTGCTTTAAGTTCTCGAGGGAATGTGATGGTTTGCTTTTCCCCTGATGACCAATATCTTCTTGTCTCAGCTGTTGACAATGAGGTAATTTATTATAAGTCAGAGGTTTTGTCCCATTTACCATGAATGATGCTTCAGATCCCTGCTGTTATTGTGCTTGTCTGGAGCTTTTTTGTGATCTGTCCCTGTTACAAAAATTTCAATGCATAGCACAGAGAAATCATATCATATAACATATTCTTATTAAAAATAACCATATTGAATTGCATATTCTAGTTCCTGGATTTCACCAAAAAACCTTGTCATCTTAAATGGACTTCCACCATCAACCTCGTATTCTTTAATCATGGCTAGATAGTAGCGAGAGAACTGAGTTCAATCTGATAAAATCATCAAATTGTTGTTGGGAAAGGATTAATTTATAATGTGGATACATATTTGTCCAAACCTCACATTGGAAGAGAAACATGGAAACGTCACGTATATGCACTATACGCTACACGAAGAATTGGTCAATGCAACAGGAGAAAAGAGACTTAAGTAGGCTAAGCTCTACAGAATTAAGATTGATGTTTAATACCTACAGCAAAGCTTCTATTAAGGGTTACAGGAAGAGGACAATCGTTCAGGATCAGCTTCCTGGAATATCCCAGGCGGCATGTTCCTGTGAAACCAAAGATTGATATGCAAAAAGAGAGCAAGAACTTCTGAAAGCATTTTAGAAATTCTTCTCTTATGACTCTTCTCTTACCATGTTGTTAAAGGATCTATAAAGCTCTTAGCCAGTCGTTATTTACTGAGGAATAACTTCTTCTTCCCCTAATTTTCTTTGAGAAGTTGAAAGAACTTTGAACTTTGTTTCAAAAAAATTATGGCCCACCATTCATGTGGAGGAGTTCTAGGACTATTCTAAGAGGAATATGTACCAAACTGACATAATACGAAGTAAAATGAAAAGATTTATGGAAGTATTTTTTTAATGGATATATTATATGCCGCAAAACGTCATCCTTGTCCAAGATTTATTGAGAAGATGGAAAAATTATTGGCAGGTGAAACAACTGTTAGCTGTTGATGGGAGGCTCCATCTAGATTTTAGTATTACTTCAACAGGGAGCTCTCAGAATTACACGCGTTCTTATTACATGAATGGAAGGGATTATGTCATCAGCGGAAGCTGTGATGAACATGTAGTCCGCATCTGTTGTGCTCAAACGGGTAGGCGGCTTAGAGATGTATCATTGGAGGTAACCTGGTTTATTGATTGTCACACTTCAATAACCTTCCTTGCTTTTCCACCATGTCTTACAAATTTAACTGATTCGACAACATGATGACTATCTTTACCATCATAATTGCCACTGGATGCTGTTTGACTTAGATTGTATCTCCATGTTTCTCAGGGAAAAGGTTCAGGAGCTTCAATGTTTGTCCAATCATTGAGGGGTGATCCTTTCAGAGTAAGTCCTGTTTTCACGTGACAAGTTTTTTCTACTTCTCTTTTCCTTTTATTTTTAATGTAAAAATGCCTCTACTAGTTTTTAAGCGAATTATATTCCTCTTTCCATGTGTCAATTAACTAAATTAGATAGCAGCTTATATTAACATTTGGAATTGTAATTATATATCTAATAGCAGTCAGTAACCTATAATACTGACTAGCTGCATCACTGATAGTCCACGAGTGTTTAAATAGAGACTCGTTAGAAGGAAAATGAGTAGCTCATAGTTGATGTATATAATTATCCAAGGATTGTACCAGACAAAATTTAGAAATTTCAAGTTGAAGAAGTGACCTGATCTTTCCACTGGTCTGCTTGTGAGCGACTAGCTAATGGGTCTTACATCATCAGTGAAGAGGGTCTGATTAGATTGTTTCAATCTGCCCAGAAATTGTTCTCGTGTGTGAGCGCATGGGAGAGAGATTTTAATGTTGAAATCATATTTTTATAGATCTAGAGGCTTTTGCTTCCAATCTATAAACACGAGGGGAAAAAAAAGAAGAGGTAAACTAGTATATACAGCACTTAAGTTTTTCAACTTCTTTATCCCCATGAAACTGTCAAAAGGCTTAGTATCTTAAAACATCTATTTAAAGTTTGGTATACCAAATTCAAATATGTAACTTTTTGCACATAAATGATCAGTAGAGACGATGTCTTTGAGTAAGAAAAAAAAAACCATCTATTTGGAAGGAAACATTTGGGTTAACGAGGAAATATCAAATGACATGATTTAAGTGTCATTTGAAATAAACACCACTAAGAAACGATCAGTGTGGCTTAAGGACCTTTTTCCCCCTCAAATTGATGATCTAAGCCTATTAGAATGCAATACATAGTATCAACTTCTCCATCTAAACAGGTCTAGTGTGCCAGATATTTAGTTGGACCATGCTAGAAGTTGAAATATCTTTCATGAATCTTCTCATGCAACCTTAACTTGACACTTGTATTGGTTGAGATCAGTTCAGTCGAGTGTTGAAGGCTGATACAGCAACAAGTCAATCCTTCAAATCGCGGAAGTGTACTGATATTATGTTGTTTTCAGGATTTTAGCATGAGTGTTTTGGCAGCTTATATACGTCCAAGCTCAAACTCAGAAATTGTTAAGGTCAATTCACTTCCTTGATAAGTCGATTTTTGACATTGAGCTGTTATTTCACCTGGGTGCCTTATATTCTTTCATGGATATGATGCAGGTAAATCTGTTGGCATCAACTGACCAAGACAAAGGGCACTCGTACACTCGGCATTCTCATCCACTATGTAGTAGCGGAGGCTGATCTTTCTGCAGTCTCATCGCATCAACTCAAAAAGGTACTTAATGGTTTCTGCATGCCCGGTAGTTAATATAGACTAGCTAGATATTGTAGAAATGGAAGTAGGACAGCAACCGCGGAATCTAGTTTTGCTTCAACTATCTGCTTTTCTGTTTGATCAACCTGGTGTATGTTGTAACATTTGTATGAAGTACAGTGCTGATTTATGAGACATCTAAACTGGTTGTGCACGACTAGGAACACTACTGAAGTTGCACTGCGGTTGACAAGATATTGTAAAGACTAGCATTCTAAGCTGTTGACTGCGGTTTCAGTCCTAAAATTTGCGATGCGTTTAAATTATCAATCTAGTTGCACTTGTAACAGACCAAAGTCTCAATTTAGGTGCATTTTGAGTATTGAAGAAAGAAAGAAATATAACGTTACATAGATAAATATTATGTACCCAGAAGCTTTTCTCTTAATATGGCTTTTGAAAACACAAACATTAATTGGTGTATGTACTTAGATGTTGATCCAAATTAAACAAAATCAGTGCTACTTTAGAGACCAGTTCAGCACCCAATTTGTTTTTGCACGTAAAGACAAAATGTGCAAGCCCATATTACATACAAAATGAATAAGGTGGATTTACGTCATACAATAATGTGCCATCACCATCAGAAGATGGCACCGCACGCCCAGTTTCAGAAAGATGTTTATAAAGATAAGTGATGAGGCAATTGGACGTACGTTTTCTCTTTGCTGAAAAATTCGTGTACTGACCTTGCTACACAGCTGTCTCTGCACACTCTCCTGACTCCTCTGCTGCCCGTGCCCAATTTGTTTTGAATTTCAAAAAACAATAAAAAATATCCAAACAGAAAACATCTCCATCTACAAAACAGGGGTAAAATATGTGTACGTTGTACCCTTTCACGGCTTTACTAGAAGAATTAAACTGAGTATGTTATTATTGTTGTAATTTATTTTTTTTAAAATGTGCAAGGCATAGCATTTGATTTCTCAGAAGGAGCAAACCTTAGATAATCCATAATTAACAAAGATGCATATTCAAGATTTAAAATCAAAATAAGTGTTGAGATATATGAAAAATTGACAGAAATTTTCTGTTATGGTTTGAATCGAAGTAATTAGGTGTGGAATTATTCGCTATTATAGTGCAATGGCTTGCGTAACGGAGACCCCCTTCTACGAGGAGCGATGTCATCTGATTGCTTCAGTAGTGGAGCCAAGAATTCACATAAAGGAATTCAAAAAAAAAGTACAAAAGAAAATTTAAAATCATGATTTGAAGTAATTGTCAAACACTGCAGTATACTTTTTCTTATATTAAAAAGATTCAATAGTTTATATATTATCTTTAAAAACCCATCGTTACCCTATTGACGTAGTATAATTCAGTTGCATCCCTAACTCCGCCCCGCATTGCTTCACCTAGAAATTTGACTAAAGAGTGTGTAAAAACAATTTTTTACATATATACAATGCAATAGACTGATATTGCTTAAAAAATGTAATGTAAATTGAACATTAATTCTGAACAGATAGGAAAACTCTCATAATATTTACAACTCAACTGATGAGAACCCATTTTTTAATTATTTGAGAACCCGTTATTGAGGAAATATAAAACAAAATAAAAAATAAAATAATCCCTCTACCATACTGCGCGGGTCTATAAATGCACTGTAGCTCCTTTTCTACTTTGCCTTAAAATTCTTAGTTTCCAAAGAAAAGTTGAGAGCCAAAATGAAGAGGTTTTTGGTAGCTTTTATGTTGCTCTTTGCTCTGCTTTTGACATCCTCCTTTCTTCAACCTGCAACCGCCAAATCAGGTAAATATCATTGCCATTCACTCTAACACAACTTCAAATTAAAAAAACCTCGGTTGGCCGGACCACTATGCACGTGCTTTTTTTTTTTTCTTTTTTAGAAAAAAACTAAATTATATTTAGTCTGTGTCCTTTTCGTCACACGATGACGACAACTCTTGTCGATACGTCAAGGTTTTGCGCATGAAATGTACTAGGATTTAAAGAATTTCTCACTTGAGCTTACTTTTCGAGTTATTAATATCTGTAGTTAATTTTTAGGTGATCTGATACGCATGGTGTAAAAATTCTTTTATGCTGTTAATAATTATAGAAGCTGTGCTCAATTTGGTTTGATATTTGGATGGTACAGTGTACTGCGCGCAGAAATGCGAGGCTCGGTGTTCCAAGGCAGGACTGAAGGATCGGTGCGTGAAATACTGTGAGTTGTGCTGTGCAAAGTGCAAATGCGTTCCAAATGGGACTTATGGAAACAAGCATCAATGCCCTTGTTATAGGGACATGAAGAACTCTAAGGGCAAGCCCAAATGTCCTTAGAAATAATAATAATAATACTAGTTACCAGATTTCTTCTCCTGCTTTGCTTTCTGCTTTTAAAATTTTCAGAGAATAAGAGCTCCTTTAGGACTTATTAATGTTTGTATGCAAGTGTTCTTATTACCTATGACAATTGAGATGAATTCTGGACTTTAATTCTTTTTACTGATCAATCTTCTTTTCTGCCACTGTCATTTAAAACAACCTCATCACTCAATTATTCTTGATTCAAGATGTTGTTCTTAAACGGAACATGAGGTCATACATTTATTAATGTATTAGTTCAAAAACACTTATTGCCAGGTTAGAGCTGTATTTCAGTTTTGGAAAGAATAAGAGAACAACAGAACCTATTACACTAAATATGTCCATAACTGCTGCAAGCTAGGATTTAACTTTCTTTAATCTTACAACCAAATAAAACACTAGGTGATTTCTTCACATTTATCAAAGTCTTGGTGGACAGAGACCAGGTTTCCATGGAATTAATCGAGCTGCGCAAACTGACCAGTGAGATTATTATTTTTTTCCGTCTAATAAAGAAAGCACGACGAATGACTTAAAGCAAACACGCCAGAAACAAGATTCAGTTATGCGGTGAAAAAATATCTCATATCGCATCTCAATTCTCACCTATCAACTAGTACAAAATAAGATTCTCTACACAAAGGTGTTCTGATTAAATCAATGAATTATTTGTTATCTCAGACAAAAGACACTCTTGGGGTTCTCCTTCAGCCTGTACAAACACAGCTGTATAACAAAACAACCATTTTCATTTGTTGCAATATCAAGTTAATTCTCTGCTAACACGTCCAAAATATATTGCAACATGGGGATAATTTCAATTGATTCAAACAAATTGTGAAGGAATGTCCAGGCATCTAAGTGGGGTTAACTTCACATATGTACTGAACTTTACCCAATATAACAATATAAAGTCACAAAACTGTTTCTAGAGCCCAACATACTCCTCCTTCAGAGAGGGAAAAAGGGAAAAAATAATTAAAAGTAATGAATAAGTATTTGTTCTTCTCTGAATATAAAATGAGTTCTGAAGGGTACATCCTGAACATTTTATCACTAGTTCAAAGTCATAAAATACTCACACCTAGTCATATATCAAATAACATATTTTTATATGCTATCAAAGAGTCAAGCATTTGTAAATCTAAATAACAGGAGTAGACGTACTTGACAGACTAGAATGATGACCATTCTATCGAATATTCCATCAAATAATTACAGAATCGCTTACCATTTGCAGAACCATATTTCCGCCAGCACACTGTAGTCAAACAAACTCGCCTATTTACAAAGTCAACCAAGTTAAACAAGACAAGCGCTCCATCAACTTTCTCGGCCTTGTTTGGCTAAAAACAAGTGTAATCAACTTGCTAATTGCTTGATTCGCTCTCTAACCCACATGGCAAGGACAACAGTACAGTAAGCTCCACCCGATATTCTAGACCTCTAAGGTAGTGCCCTAGCAGCATGCACCTGATGAATTATCAAGGGACAAAGTCAAAGTTCCTATCTTTAATACCAAGTAGGAGTAGTAAAATTCAGCATCCAGCTCAAAGCCAGAAAACCCAGGGGTTTTCAAAATATTGAGAAAAACTAGTACTAACAGTTCGATATCATGAACCAACACAGCAGCACATATAGACAGTCAACAATCAGGGCAGCATGAGTACAGATGCCTAACGTTACATGATCACAGGAGCTCATTCAGACAGTTAACAATCTGGTAGATGAGTAACAGATGCGTAAGATTGACAGGAAGACATCTGATCAAACCAGCAAGAGAAAAACTAGAAATGGGGAAAACAGAGTAAAGATTGCACCTAACCTAATACAGTTGGAGCCAGTAAAGCATTTGATTCATACTTGTACATTATTTTTTCATCTTTTGTAGGAAAATCCCCTTCTCTAGTCTTGAGAAATTGAGCGACGCATCCACATAAGCACAAGAATTTTGTTCTTTTGAACAAGCCTTCTAAATCCAAATTTTTTGTCCTTTTATTTGAGTTCATAATAATAACTGGCGGGTTTCATTAATGAAAAGAAAAGCGGAGGCCCGCCATCTGCTAGCATTGTGGTTTTCCATCGATTCTTTATCAATGGCCCACCCTTTCTTTGAACCTTGTCAATGATCGAACTTAAACTTCTTTATTTTGACTTTTACCCAAATACGACATAGTTAGTGCAAACCGGCTATATTTGTGTCCAGGAACTACTCATTTTCAAGAATAAAAAACATACATAGCTATAAAAACTAAGCGCCGTACTCGTTCGTGTAGAAGCCTAGTCAATTAAAGACAAATTTCTCAACATCCTAGTTCGTACAACTAGAAGACTAATAAATTTGCAAACCTAAGCATATAGATCATTGAGAAAGTGTTCTCACCAAAACAACAGACGAGCCAAATAATCTCGAGTCAATGATATCTGAGGTTGGAAGTGAATGGAGGTGTTCTCAACAAGATCGATGGAATCTTCAGCTCCAATATTTACAGTTCCTGCAGAGCTATTTTCTGATAGATCGGGGGCCTTAGAATGCATTCTAGGGGATAGAGTTGCGAGTAGTCCATGGACTACTGAGCGGATGGTCTCCTTTACTTCCAGGGATGTTGGTTCTGATAGCTCAGCAACCTGCATTGATGTGGATAGTGAGCAAAGCAAAGACAAAGGAAGACAATAAGATAGGAATAACGAAGATATAAGTTTCCTAACTTCCAATTCTGAAAGGAAGTGTGTGAACAACCAAGAGATCACGCAACTACAATTACAGGAAAGCTAGAGAACGCATATTAAGAGACAGAAAAAATATAGAATAAGTCGAGATTAATAAAAACTATTAACGGAAAAAACAAGCTGCAATGTTTGTAAAATCAATTAACACCATAAGAAAAAAATTCCCTACCCTCAATAACAAAAGTATGCAATACAAAGAATCGAGAGAAGAAGTGCAGTGCGTGATGTGTGGGTCAGGCGCACATCACAGATTTGAACCTGTCACAAACAAAAGCCTAATATTTAAGTGGAGAAGGGTAAGAGGGCAGGCCCATTATCCACCGAGTGTTTAACAGAGTGCCACCAGCCACTTGGGGATTTCTTGGACATCTGTAAGAAAAAAAAGGAGAGCGAGAAGCATTTTTTTTCTTTTCTTGCTATGAATATAGGTGAAGCTGTAAAAGTCTTAGTTCTCACTCTGCGTAGAAAAAAAAACTTGAATAGGTGATATTTCACTTTGAACCCCACATATGTTTTTTTACTTTGTCCATAATTCTGTGATTTCTTTTAGAGACAGAGAGAGTCAAACCTAACAAGGTCCTCTTCCGTTATGAAACTTAAGGCTTTTTTCATAACCTTATCCTGCCCTTTCTCTCCCTAAAATTCATCCAAAAATAAACTTATATTAAAAAATCTATCTTAAATTGCTTTTTTAACTTTCAGTTTCATTCACATCCAGCACATCAGTAAGTTCAGCAAGAACCATATTATTTTTCCTCTCTTTTTTACGGTTATAAGCAACAAGAACTCTAATGTATCCATGCAGATTAATGGAAAACAAAGGTGCAGCCATGGAATACATCTTCCCTATATCATTTTGAATCTGTCTCCATCCTCGAATATTTTTCACATACATAAAATGTTTATGCAAAAGATCCATATAAGCAACTAGTTAGGATTAGCTTAGTCAAATATTTTACAGATACATAAAATGTTTATGCAAAAGATCCATATAAGCAACTAGTTAGGATTAGCTTAGTCAAATATTTTACAGATACATAAAATGTTTATGCAAAAGATCCATATAAGCAACTAGTTAGGATTAGCTTAGTCAAATATTTTACAGATACATAAAATGTTTATGCAAAAGATCCATATAAGCAACTAGTTAGGATTAGCTTAGTCAAATATTTTACAGATACATAAAATGTTTATGCAAAAGATCCATATAAGCAACTAGTTAGGATTAGCTTAGTCAAATATTTTACAGATACATAAAATGTTTATGCAAAAGATCCATATAAGCAACTAGTTAGGATTAGCTTAGTCAAATATTTTACAGATACATAAAATGTTTATGCAAAAGATCCATATAAGCAACTAGTTAGGATTAGCTTAGTCAAATATTTTACAGATACATAAAATGTTTATGCAAAAGATCCATATAAGCAACTAGTTAGGATTAGCTTAGTCAAATATTTTACAGATACATAAAATGTTTATGCAAAAGATCCATATAAGCAACTAGTTAGGATTAGCTTAGTCAAATATTTTACAGATACATAAAATGTTTATGCAAAAGATCCATATAAGCAACTAGTTAGGATTAGCTTAGTCAAATATTTTACAGATACATAAAATGTTTATGCAAAAGATCCATATAAGCAACTAGTTAGGGTTAGCTTAGTCATGTTGCTACACCTACATTATGTTTAGAATTTGCTTAGTCTTTTTAATCATTCAAAGATTTATATGTCAGCAAAAAATATAAAGAGCCTATTGAAAATTGAAATGGATAGTGCAATTCATACAGCAAACATCAGCTAGCTTGGCTTGACTCTTGAGACGTAGTAGTTGTCATTGTTGTAGGATAAACTTCTTATGGAGTTGTAAGAAAAAAAAGAACCATTTACCTTCTCCGGAAGCAATGATCTTAAGTAGTCCAACAACTCATTCTTCTCCTCACCTACAAATTGTTGCATCTGAAGAGCTGCACTTTTCCTCTTAACTTCATGAAGTTCCTTCCACACACAAAAACAACAGACATGATAATTTATTGATCGGACAAGATGAAAATATTTAAACAACAAGATATTCTGGAAGTAAACCCTACACTTAAAGGGATCTTAACCATGAATATAAGGTGTATACAGTCTATTCGGCTGGAGTAAACAACATACTGTAAATAACTTTTTATCAGTTTTTTGACTTTGTCAGCTCCCTAGTAAGCATGTGGAAGATCTCTGTACTGGAACCCCCGTTTGACTTTTGCTTGTAATTTCAGCATCGATGGGTGCAGTCT